AAAGAAGTAATTTTGCTAAACATCATAACCGACACGGCTGTGGTTGCAACCCCGTGAAAAGCATCCGTTATGCACCTTCTGTCCATATTAATCATAATTATCCTCAGTTCTCTCGTATGCATGTATTACGTTTATAACTTAAATCCATAATGAACGTCATGGGAGCAGAACAACTCGACAAAACAAAACAATCGATATTTGCACTGGCCCGCACTTTGAGCGGTCCTTTGCGCTTTTATTCCAGCGATGCCAAGCTTCTCCCGAAAACTTATTTATTTTCAAGAGAAGTCATGAATAGATTTCCTCGAGATTTTCTGAAGTCCTAGATCAAATTGCGAGGGAAATACCCAAAAAATTTCAAATTAAAATGTTCTAAAATTTCAAAAAATTGTATTTTATCGATTGAGATTCAGCAACGCCAGCATGCTTTGACGGCGTTTTTCCTGCATGGCAGCTTTGAAATTTTGCTTCATCTATTGCACTTGCACCGTAGCTATCTTCTATCTCCATACTTTTTTGATGAAACTACGAAAACTCCACGTATTTAACTAAGGTGCCTCAAAATTTTTTCTAGGGTTTCAGTTTTTCAGAAAGCACTATCATAAATTTTATGAAATTCGCAGAAAATATTTTCGAGGGAGCAAAGAAAAGCAACATGTAATTTTGTGTGAGAATAATCGGTTATCCACCGGGGGGGAAAAATTGCGGAGTTACGCGTTTCTAAATTCCACAAATCATAATACCTACCTATACAGGGTTATTCAAAAGTCACGCACCACTGGATAGAAGGGGATGGTCATTTGAAATTTTTGAGTTGCCCCGGCCCCTCTCCCCCCGAGGGGATCAAAAACTGGAAAGTGCCCAAAAAAGTTTCCCCCTTCGATACGAGTAAAAACATCTTAAACTGTAAGTCGATATCATAATTAGAACTAAAGTTATGACCAGTGGTGCGTGACTTTTGAATAACCCTGTATATCACGTACTACTCCAGGGAGCAAAGCAATGCAGGGAGAAGGGGAGACAATACAGCATATTTCATCTGCCTACTGCATTAAAATCGGTCGCCTGCATTTTAGCGTTGGATTCGCGAGGATGGTAAAATATCTGAGAATTCGTGGATAAACTTTAAGGAAACTGTGTAAAATAAAATGTGAGTCACCCAATCACAAAAGATTAACTCCTAAAAAAAAAAAAAAAAAAAAAAAAAAAAAAAAAAAAAAAAAAAAAAACAAGCAACAACAACAACATGGATGCACCGAACCTTAAAACGCGAAACATTGAATGCATGTTGCGCGTTAAAATGAGGAAAACGGTAAGTCGATTAGAATTTTTAAAAAATCAAGATTATTGAGGTAGATAAGTGGTTTTTGGATTCTTCCATTAACTTGGTTCAGTGGCAATTTTGAAAGTTGGCAACACTGTTAATGCTCCATTTAAATCCATTAAAAATATCGATTTTAGGTGAGGCAAGCTGCCTCATCAGGAATCGATTGTGTTACATACATTTGAATGGAGTCGAAACAGTGTTGCCAACTTTCAGGAATCGCCACTGACTTAGTTTCCATGTCCTGATTCTCAAAGTTCGTTTGGCAACCCCGATCGCCCCTGAATTTCATGGACGCAGCATTTTCCTTGCAATGAAAACGCCTTCGCTGGATCATTGGTTCTTCCAACTGCTTGGCTTCTGTTTTCCTGTGGAGGGATGCAGACCGGAACTTTTACTCGTTGTGTCCCAGATAAAGTTTTGTTTGTGAAAGGATGCATCTGAGCACCTTATCTGCTTTCCTGTCCCGAGCGGCATTGCCACTTCGAAAAGTAATTTCGCGCCGCGCGAGAAGTCTCTTCAACCAAACAGCATTTTTTAACGGAGAAATCGGGTTATATTGCAATTTTGTCGGCGATAAAATCGCTAGGATCATCGACATCTGAGCGATTATCCTCGACCTTTATCGGGATTCTATCGCCAGGCAATTTATCGCGACATTTTCGAAATAAAAATCGCGATAAATGGCGATTTAATCTCGATTTTATCGACGAAATTTGATCGCGATTTTATCGAGAAAAAAATTTCGATATGTTTCGATTTAATCGCCAAATATCGCGATTGTTAATGCGATAATATCTCGATATATTGCCACCGAAATAATCGCGACAACCAACCGATAAATCGCTATTTATCGCGATCGCTGCTACTTGGGCTGCAGGGTCATTTTACCCACGTGGCATTTTTCAACGGAAAAATCGCGAGACTGAAATTGAGTTGCGATTTTTTGGCGATAAATTCCCGAGGATCATCAACATCTGAGCGAATGTCCTCAATCTTGACCTAATTTTATCTTCATGAAATCGCGTTCGATAAAATCTAAGTTTTATCTCAATTTAACACGATTTTATGTTCGATTATATTGTGATAAATTGCCGTCGATAAAATCGCAATTTGATCGCAAATTTATTCAAAGAAATCACAATTCTTTATCCGATGTAATAATGTAATAAATCGGCGTCGAAAAAATCGCGATACATTCTCCGATCAAATCGCAACTTATCGCGATCAGGGCCGGATTAAGAGGGGACATGGGCCGCGGCCCATGGCGGCAAATTTTGCAATTTTTTTAATGTAGGTATCAAAAAAAAAGAGAGGAAAAAATCGGGTTCAGAAAATAAATTACAAACGAGAAAAGGCGACAGAATCTCTCATTTCCTGAGGGTAAAAGTATAGTAATTTCTAATTTTGTCGTCTTTCGGTGACACAAGAGACAACACTTTTAATCAGCCGAGTTAAGAGAAAACCCAAACACGCAGGATGACGAGGACTTGAGATGAAATGGGCAAGCCCTCGGCGCGGCGCGGCGGTCGGCATGAAACGCATAGCGCCTACAAGACTGCATGAATACTTCACGCATTGCGTCAAACACAGTGCGGTCAGCAGCGGTCAGCGTGAAGCGCATAGCGCCTACAAGACTGCATGAATACTTCACGCATTGCGTCAAACACAGTGCGGTCAGCAGCGGTCGGCGTGAAGCGCATAGCGCCTACAAGACTGCATGAATACTTCACGCATTGCGTCAAACACAGTGCGTTCAGAAGCGGTCGGTGTGAAACGCACAGCGCCTATTTGACTGCAGGGATGCTTCACGCACTGCGTCAAACACAGTGCGGTCAGTTTGTTCTTTCATAATTTTTTCGTTCATTTCTTATAAATGGAAGGCCTTGTTCACACAGAGATAGGTTCACGGAACTTAACTTTCGCGCAAAGTTCCGTGAACTCTTGCTGGTAATGTTGACAGGGCCTCGCAAAAAATGTGTCCAATACGAGTAAACGCGTTTTACGCACCCCTCCCCGCTGCACGTTCACTTGATGGTTTTTATTGATGTTTCAAAACGAATGAGAAGGGGGCGGCAAAATACAGGCGGCCCACGGGCGGCAAGTAGGTGAATCCGGCCCTGATCGCGATCACTGCTATTTGGGTAACGTCAAAAATGCATCATTATAATTGATCTAGAAGCCTAGGAGGAATTGCGTATGACTACATGATTCTTGTAAGATTTTTGCGAAAAAATTAAATCGCAATTTGTAGAAATGAAATAGACGGCCCAAAATTAGCCCAATTGCATAGCACATTGCTTGACTTTTCATGCGTTTTATGGCTCCTACCGAGAACTAAAGAGCATATGATTTGAAACTTGAAACGGCATCAGCACCTGAAAACTTCAGCGTTTTTCTCCAATTTTCTGCCTTCAAACACTAAATTGCCCCCGAAGAGTTAAAGCTTGGAATGTTTAGGTGCGGAGCCCTTTGCACAGTAAATGGACGTATTTCTGCCAAACGGAATTATGTGCATTATGGTGTGAGCCCTGTTATGCATATATTCTTATGGATCTCAGGGCTCATGTCTTAACGCACATTGTTCCGTTTGGCAAAAATACGTCTAAATAATACTGAAAAAATCCATTTGACCTATTGTATAGATATAAAATTTCTAATCTGTTCGGCCTGGCTTCATCACATTTAACAAGGAAATATCTGCTTTTTTCTCTGTTGTTTGTTCTGTAAAATCGCATTTTACTGAACCAAGCAAGAAGTTGAGCGGAGCTCGGATTAGCGTAAAATCGTTTGAGGAGTCGATTTACCTCAAGAGGGATTCTTTTTCGGAAAGAAACGCATCTGCTTCAGCATTCCGACGTGAATATATGATGTTTTTTAAACGTCTCAATATATATATAGAGATACATCACTTCAGGTAAATGACGTCCAATTTACTGAGTCCCTCCCCTCTCGTCCCCGAACACGCAGGATATTACCTTCGTGAAGATTGATGCTACGGTTTGTAGCAGTGGTGTGGTTGCAGGATTTACAGCGCACCGCATGTTAACGTTTAAATAGCTTCTCCAAAAAGAAGTTTCAGGATATTTTTCCTCCCTGCAGATCCACCTAAGAACGAGCTTCTCCGAATAGTACTCGTAGTAAGGGGTAATCATTTTCTGTTATGCAGAAGCAGGCCTTTTCGTAAATACAAAAACAGCGTAACTGCAATAAAGTTCCATCGCACCCGAGAACCACAGCGTAACGAAAATATTGAAATTAAATTGCAATTTGATTTCAATAAAATTGTATTTTTTTTACAATTAAAGTGCAATATTTTTTACATCATTTAGTCGATTTATGCCGAATTTAAACAATCAACAAAATGGACCCTATGTGTCAGGAAGATAGGCATTGGGCAATACAATAAAAAATTGCAACTTATTTCAATTTTTATGCAATAATTTTCAATAAATGGGACCCCTTCAAATAGGAACTAGGCAACATATACAACACTCAGTGGAATTGGAATATTTTTACAGTGCAGTTGCTACTTATTGCAATCTGTGCTACTTGGGGCAGTTAGACTGAACGTGTATGGATACTTTTTTACATATGCTGAATTAGCTATAAGACGTGCATTGCTGCATACGTTTGCATTTTTGTTTAAAATTTCATTGCTTGTTCCTTGCTTCAGGTTCGTTTCGATACCGTGGATAGAGAAGGATATCGACGAAGACTCAGTGAGCTGTTTCTTGAATTCATCGATGGAAGCCTCACACGGATCCGATCTCACGGAATCATGTAATCACTATCTCAACAAACTGATCAACCTCCCAACCCATGCAAATTCTGAGATAGGTAAGCTTTGGTTTTTCTGACTCTAACTATCATCATTTAGTTCAGAAATGTACGAAGGTAAACGTTTTCAATTATTCTGATTGTGAGTGTCATAGAACCGTGTGCTAGTGGTTATGAGTCTTAGGGACCGTCCATAAATTACGTCACCCATTCTATTCAATTTTTCGACCCCTACCTCCCTCACCGTTCCCAACCGTCATCCACTACTAGACCCCCCCCCTAATAATTACGTCATCCCTAGCGTCCCCCCTGCTCTTCTACGGGAGAAAACGCAGGAAATCGATAACAACCAGTAGATATATTTTACAGAGTTAAGAACATGATTAATTTCTTTTATTGAGTATTAAATACATCATATTGTGGTCTGCCCCCCCCCCTTTGGGGAAAAACGCAGAGAATCGATCGTAGGTGGGTACCATTACTAACATGTATTTTTTTGCGGCACTAATGCACTGTAAAAAAAAAAAACACATTGGATCTAGAGTCCAGACTCTTAAAAACATCGACAAGAAAAAGTACTCTTGATTCAATCAGAATCTAGCTTAATTCAAGAACCAAGCCTCTTAATTTAAGCGGATTTCGTTTTGATTCAAGCAAAAATCCGATTGAATCAAGAGTATTTTTTCTTGTCAATGTTTTCAAGAGTCTGGACTCCAGATCCAATGGTTTTTTTTTTTTTTCTTTCTTTTTTTTCCAGTGTTATGTGGCTTATTCGCACGGAGAGCTACCTCACGCTCTTATTAACAATTATTGCATGCAGTTAATTTCTTAATTAATTCTAAGTATTAGTAAAGAGTACACATGAGAAAACAAATATGGGTAGCACGGCAAGGAACATACGCGTTGATCACTCTCCTTCAAAGGAGGATTTAACTATTACTAAAATAATTTTAATCAAATATTATTGACGTAATCTTGCAATGAGAGGTAGCGGATTGAGTCTGCTGCCCATTTTAGCAAAATTTACCCTTTTCAACCTTTCTTTTTACCTTTAGCTCATAATTTATGGAAGTCTTTGCTCAGATATCTTTTCTTCTTTGTTCAGACGAGCTTCGATACCCAACGGTCCGGAAGTCTAAAAGTCGACAGAGGTCGTGGGAGGAGTGTGGAAATCGTCTAGATCTTGCAAAGTCTCAAAACTGCCGTTTTTGCGGATCACCAAACTTCGGCATCCCCGAAAAGATGCACGAGCCGCTCAAATGCTGGAAAGATCTCTGCTCCAACTGCCACTCCAGCCTTGGAGCCTCTCTTTGCAGGTTACTTCTCCCCACACCCAGGAAGAGACTTCTGCTGGAACGCTACTGGAGTAATGATAGCTATAATCTGATCATACCATCATGATTCAGAGAGAGAGAGATCAACTTCATGCAGTGTGTAAATTTTTAGAAAATCATGAAGTTAGAATATTAGCGTGATTTGAGCTCAAGGTTTTCAGTCGACCGATACTAACTTAAGTTAGTAGTTTATTTATCATTGGTTCATTGAGTTGAAGACAAAGTGGTTTAATTTGTATAAATAAAAAATAAGTTTTTCACGCTCAATCAGTCCTGTTGATGGAAGTTCCCAATTTCAAACGAGTCAGCAGTGGACGTCCTCTGCACCCCAGGTCCTCTGCATTTAGGTCGTTCATAAGTAGATGCTTTAGTTTTTCTATGTATGTATATATTGAAGTAATTATAAGTTCATAAATTACGAGTCAAATTATTTCAGATACTCATCATATCCACGTGTCCCTCAAAACAAATATCCGTCCTCTTCTCCTATTTGCAAGAAATATAAAAAAAGTGAAACCTACTTCATCGTTTACGAGTTGACCAGCGAATTTTCTGATAATTTTCTCTTATCTAGTTTTGTTTGACATTTGATAGAGAAGCAATCCTCTATGACATTTTAATTCTTACCATGTTTAATAGATCACCGTCACAAACTCCACTTGCCGCGCACATTTATGGGTTTAGATGCGTTTTCCGGCGTAACGATGTAACGTCACAAATTGACAGAGAATGGACAGTCATTCACAAACGCGCAAAGTGCTCTCCTCAGTTTCCATTTATTAGTATGACAGGTCAACACTCAACGACGATTAAGTCACCGAGCAGTGTTGCAAGTGCATAAAGATTTAAGATATCATTTTTGTAACCAGTGACGATTGATCATATGGGTGGTTTCACGATAACTAGATACTAGAATAGTTATGTCGCCGTAACAGACAACACATTTTTCCGTCATATTTTTAGTAGTAATGATATCACTCGAATTTTTTCGCATTAATCTTCAAAAGGCTACGTATCCCTGGTAAAAATTGGCGATAGGAGCTGCGTTTCAAAATACCATAGGAGTTCTTATAGCCGACTGAAGAGGGCGATAGAAAATCATATAGCTGGCTGTAGAAAGTGGAAAAAATCATACGGCCGGGCTACACGAAGCGATAAAAAATTATACAGCCGGGCTATAGTTCCTATCGCCGGGCTTTACACTTTATCGCCTGGCTGTTGCTTTTTCGCCATCGGCTATAAAAGGCTATAAGAAATTGAGTGGAAATTCTTGTGCTTTGTAAATCCTTAAGTTTGTGCGGAATCACCTTAATATTTACAAAACGCACATTATATTTTCCTTTAATGCATATTTTTTTTCATCAATTAAAATGAGAATAATCCATACAGAGTGTGCAAACATTTCAAAGTCATGAGTTGAAAAACGCTGACTCCGCGAGATTAAATATAAGAGCCTAACACAAAGCGGAGCGGCGGCGCACCGGCGCCTACAAACCTAACAGGGATACTTCACGCATTGCGCAATGCGTGAAGTATCCCTGTTAGGTTTGTAGGCGCCAAATGCGCGTTTCGCGCTGGCTGTCCGTCCGCCACGCCGCAGCGTACCATGGCGCTTGAAGCAACTATTTCACACCAGAGGTATTGCACAGTGTCATACGAAATTGAAGGCGCTCCAACATATTAGGAATGGCAGGCATCCTTCAAAAGTACGGAGCTTTCCTCGCAAATTAAATCACGATACTGCGGCCCAAAAAGAGAGCAGTAGTCCAAAAACTCACTAAGTCCTAGCATCCGTAATTAGTAACGTTTAGCATACACTTTATCGCCAGGCTGTAGCTTAGTCGCCATCGGCTATAAAAGGCTATAAGAAATTGTGTTGCCGGCTATAGAAGCTATTGCAAATCTTACAGCCGGCTGCCGGCTGTAGGTCTATGGTATTTTGGAACACAGATTCTACTGCCAATTTTTACTAGGGATTATAACGCTTAATGATTTATTGCTCTACTTCTCATTTAATATTATGTAAATTCCGAAAATGTGCTGTCAGTTACGCGGTAAAAAGTCAGCGAAACAGACATGCAGCACATTTTCGGCCATTTATATATTAAAATTGAAAAGTAGAGCGATAAATTATTGAATAGCGTTATAGCACGTAACCCTGTGTAGATTAATGCAAAAAAAAATCGAGTGATAATCATTACTACTAAAAATACGACCGAAAAATGTGTTGTCTGTCACGGCGACAAAACTATTCCAGCTATCGTGAAACCACCCATACACGGTATAGGTGTGTTAATACTTGGTATTTACATTTATATACTCAACGGTGGAAACTTATAACTATACGAGCGTCATCCACGAAGCTGGGTTTACTGTTTTTCTAACTTCCGAATGGAAAAAGGTAAATCAAATAAGTAAAAAAGTTACATGTTAGCCATATTATGATCTTGGAAAAAACCCAAGTTTTTGAAAATCGGTAGAGAGATTCGTGAGGAAAGTCAATTTCAATGAGACATACAACCCTTCGCCGGGTGCCCATGATGACCGCACCTCTCGGTGAGCTCGTGAGTTTCACCGGACGAATCGTTTCCTCAAAAGCATAGAACAAGAGAGCTAAAGGGAGAGGCGTCACATTTATTTCGATCCGTATATTTACAGCCTCAATTTGGTATATTACTTTTAAATTTTTTATCAATAGTCAGCAAAAAAATTGGATGATCTAAGAACATCTGCAAATGTTCGTTCAAACTCGAAAACAAAAATACACTGCAATAGTGTCTCTCTCTGCTGGTAAAGTTAAGCCCCCGTCCTTACAAAGCTATCAAAATTTACACTTAAGTGAGCATTTGAGCAAGTGTTCACTATTTCTCTAAAAACTGGACGCAATGACAGACCATTTTATCAGAATTATTCGATTAAAGACGTGTCAAAGGATGGAAATCAATGTTAGATGCATGGCAGATGCACTTCATTTATGGAATGTACTGAAAAAAGGAAAGTGTCAGAAAATGTTTAAGATCCACTTAGCAGAAAAGTTTAATGATATTCCTGTAACTTTAACTAGAATCAGAATGAAAACTTCTTTGATGAAAATAAAGATGAAGTAGAATTTTTTGTAGTATCGTCCATCTGAATTTTGCCTTCAATACTGCTGGATAGGCAACATACCAACCAAAGGAGCACGAATAGTTATCTCTTTGAATGATGCACATTCATCTTAATATTCATTCAATGACACATCTCCCCTCATGACGACCAAAAAATGATGAATTAACCCATTGGAAGATTTTTCTCCCTGAGGTGTGTCCTAACTTTTGCCGTTTAGGCAACAAACCAATCGAAAGTAGGTATCTACTCAAATAATAAATATTAATCTTGCGCTCAAGACTTCGATTAAACCAGTTGACGAGATATCAACGTACTCACACCTATCTTCCACTCTAAGTTCGCCTTCAATTTCCCTGTTAGGCAATACATCTATCAGAGGGCACGAAACATATATTATGTATAATCAAAAAACATAGATTTACCTCGTTCTATGCTTCACCTGAGCCAAGAGGCGTTTTGTAACTATGAGCTTTCATGTAATTAATCTTGAATTTCTGGAAATCTGGAATTTGACTGCGGTAGGTAAAAATGGACTAACGCTGCGTTGAGGACTGTGAAGTATTCGAATGAAAGTTAAATGAAAAATGTATACACTCGTAAGTTTTTTGGCGGTGTTACGGGTTGCCGATTTTACTTCTAAACCGTGCTACGAAATTATCACTGTTACTACGTCACATATAATTCTGGAAGGAAAAATCAAATGAAAAATTGTGCACAAGTAAAACATGAATTGGATAGGAAAAACTGATTAAAGACGAAGGATAAAAAGTTTAATTTGAGCATGTCAAAAAATAAAAATGTGATCACATAGTCTCAAGCAAAATAATACAATATAGTTTGGTGTGAGATCTTATAAACCCTAATGGGCCTCTCATCGTAGACTATCATTCATACTGTGTTTACATTACATACATTTTTAGGACTGATGCATTTTATCTTTGAATGCTCTTGAGAAGGAAAAATTATTTTCTCTATCAATTGCATTCAAGCACGTTTGAAGAATCTACAAGAGGATTAGTTTACCCTAAGTTATAATCACAATCTTGGTGGTTAGTCTCAGTGGTCAGAAATGAATGTTCGATAGTCAATGGATCTGGAGGATTGAAACATACATACATGTATAAGTTAAGTGAGATCATAGATTTTGGCACTTTTTATTTCTCAATTTATTGATCAATTAGTACACAACTCCTGAATATCTTACAAAAGTGACTCATTGAAGTCGAACTTCATCCTGTATTTATTTTTAATATCATTAAAAAACTATATAGATTCGATTACAGAATGTGCCCTTTTTTATCGCCTACTTTTTAACAGGTGAACACCGGTAAACTGATGGTTTCGAAATGTTCGATATTAGGAACCAGAATGAAAGCAGTAGTGATGACTGATGAAGCTAAAATGGAAACTTCATTATTTTTCACCTGCATTTTATCCTTAAGTAACCGCAATTTCAAAGCCTAATGAGATGAAAATTGTATCACAGATACAGCATTACCCACTGGCGATTCTTTAAAGTTGGCAACACTGCCTCCCTCCCATTTAAAGCCATTATAAATAACGATTTTCGGTGAGGCAAGCTGCAACGCAAAGAATCGATTGTTTTATATTCATTTAAATGGAGGTAAACAGTGTTGCCAATTGTAAAGAATTGCAACTTCCATTCTGCCGTGCTAAGAAAAAACGCTGTATGAACCTCCAGGCGGTGCCAAATTTCCTTTGATAAAACTTGCATTTCTTGGTAAACTTATGAATATTTTCTTTCCAATTTTTAAGATAATTTTGCTAGCAATTTCATCTAAAGTTCCTGACAATTTCAAGGGAAAATATTCATAACTTACCTCAAAAATGAACATTTTATCGAAGGGAATTTGGCAACTTTCGAATGTTCATACGGCGTTCTCCATTAGCACAGCAACATTACCTCGAAATCTAATCTCAACGCCTCTTGGAATAATCGACACAGCCCTTACAGCTACAAAACTCAGGCGCGGCGCCGCAGTACCCAGACGCAGAGCAGCAATGATAAGCGGGATCCTTGGGATTGCAGATCGGCACATGCCCGTCGATTTTCGGGGCCGAGGGGCCGCAGCGGCCGGCCAGAAGCCCATCTTTAAAGGTGTACCAGCGTTTGTCTCCCGACTGGCCCGCCGTCTTGCCCGTCCGGTGGTTCACACACCCATCGCACTCGCAGAAGTCATCCCCCGAGCCGCAGTACCCAGCTGGAGAGCAACAGAAGTTCTTACCGTCCGGGTTGCAGATCGCCTCTTTCCCATCGGGCAATTTGGGCGCATTCGGCCCGCACCTCGGCTGACCGACTTTGGCTACGTCGAAGCCAACATGCCACTGCACCGGTCGCGTCGGCTTCACCGGTGCCTCGACCAGCTTCTCCGGGTGCTCCGCGTAGTTGACACAGTCCTCGCAGTCGCAGAACTTCTCGCCGCTCCCGCAGTAACCGTGCGGGCTGCAGCACGAAAAACCCGGATCATCCGGGTCGCAGAGGGGGTAGAACCCTTTATGCAGGGGCGCCATCTTACCGCACATGCCAGCCTTGTCTTTATCCTCCAGCCATGTCCACCACCGTTTCTCCGTTCCCAGCGGATTGCATTTGTACTTAATACCACCACCGCTTCCACCTTTACATCCGGTTTTGAAGACGGTGTCGATGAGGACGAAGTCTGAGCTATCCTGATCCACCGACCAGATCATGACACCTCCCAAGTTGTGTTCGTTGGCGTATTTGATCTTCTCAGCGATCGATCGTTCGTTCTCGTAGCTCAAGACCAGCTTCCCATCGGTTGCCCACGGCGTGCTGGAACGGGCGTCCCAATTCTTCTGGAACGCGGAGTTCTCGTTCAAGTGCCACTCGTTCAGCATTTCCCAGTACGGCGCTGAGCCTCCGTAGGATCCGTTGTTGAGTCGTTCGGCCGTTCTGTACAGCGGGTAGTTGGCGTCCTTGCCGGGTGACGTCTGGTACCAGAAGCGGCCGTAGAACGGGACGCCCATCACGATCTTAGCGGGGTCGTTCCCGTTGCACACGTACTGCTTGATAGCCCAGTCGACGTTGAGTTTACCGGAGTAGCCGGTTGGGGCAGCGTGCTTGAGCGGAGAGTTTGGACCGACGAACGCACCCCATTGGGAGTCCCAAGCACCGAAGAAGTCGTATGACATAACCCCGATCCAGTCGACGTGCTTGAGTAGGTTTGGAACATCGAAACCGGCGAATGCTTCCTGGCCGGCTGCAGCGGCGATGGATATCAATCGGTTGGCACCTAGCTTAGCTCGCAGTTCGCGCAAGAACGTGACGTAGTTACCTTTGTCCTCTGGTTTACCCTCGGTAGCACCGCCGGTGACAGGATATTCCCAGTCGATGTCAACACCATCGAACTGATACAAATTCATTATCCGATCGATTTCATTGATTAGGGTGTTGCGGCTCTCACCGCCAGATAGAACCGCCGAGAAATGTTTAGAGTTTTCCCAACCTCCGATGGCGAACGAGACCTTAAAACTAAGACCTTGGTCCATGTGGACCTTCTTCGCGAGCACAAGGTCTATAAGTCGCTCTTTGGACATGGAGTGAGATGGTAAAGAGAGCCGACCGCTTGCATCCATATCGATAAACGCGTAGATAGCATTGGTTAGGCCGAGAGATTGTTTGATGGTAAACGGCCTCCAAGTCCAGTGGGTTACATAACCGATGATGCGTTTGGCACACTTGTTGCCTCCGGCCAGAGCTTGTTCTTTCAATGCTGCCAGGTGAGTCTGGTAGATTTTCGAACGACTCGCAGCGTCTAAGTCACCCAACTCACGAATCAGAGCAACCGATATCACGAACACAGTTTTGAGATTGTCCGGTAGTCGAGTAGCGAATCTTCCAATCGAGAACGGTGGTTGTTGGAAGTCTGTGATGAGCAGATGACCGGTTCCTTCTGGGGTCTTCCAAGCTCTGGCATGCACAACGTGACCGGTTCCGTCGTTGCGTCGAAACGGCAACGAGAAGTGCACGATTTCCCCGTTCGCTATGTTGTTGTCGAGAAACGCGTAAAATTGCTCAGGAGTACCTTCAAAAATCTGCTTCGCGTTCTGGAAACCAGCCTCTTTGTACAAGTCGACGATGTACTTGATGCTAGGAGCACCCTTAGCCTCCATCATCACCTCCGTCTCCTTCAAAAGCTCCGTGACTGTTTTCCGCTTCAGCGCCGCCAGAGAGCAGTAGTAGCAGTTCATGTTGCCCTGTACGTCATTGACGACCCGGAAGTCGGCGGGTTCTAGGCGTTGAGCGTAGCCGTCCGCCAAACCGGTTCTCTGTCGAGCGATCTCCAGGTGCGTGGGATTGCTGAGGTCCATGCGGGACTCGGGAATATCCGTGTTGAGTCGGCGACGATTCGTTGGTCGTCCTTCTTCTTCGGCTGTTTTGAAGATGCTCTCTGGGCCGAACCTATCGCTGAACCCGCGTTTGGGCGGGGCCTCCGCTCCGAAACCTGGCTTTTTGCCGCCTTTTTTGGCTGCCTTGCCTCCGACGAACTCCGTGCCGATGCCGAGGATCGTATCAAAGTGGTCCCCGGCGGAATGTTTGTCTATGTTGGAGACGTAGTCGACGATGCCAAAGGGAGAGTACTCTCGGTTCTTTGCCGAGTCGATGCCGGTGATGAGGCCGTCGGTGGCGGCTCCGGCGGCGATGGCTCCGGCCGGCCCGCCCAAGATCCCGCCAATCACGGCGGCCGTCGATGTGGACGCCCCCTTGAGGATATGCTCGCCGCGTTCCTTGTCCCCCGCGGCGATGTGGATCCCTCCCTTGATGTGCCCGACGATCGGGGTGTTGTCCGCCACCGGTTCGATGAACTCGTGCAGGAACTGCTCCTGTGTCTTTTTAGCGCCTTCATTATCTCCCGAAGCGGATTGAACTGCCGATTTAATTTGCGATACGACCGGTGCTTGATTCACGAAGTTCTCTTGGGTCTTTTTGGCACCTTCGGTGTCCCCTGAGATAGCCTGAACTGCTGATTTGATCTGGGATATGATGGGGATCGAGTCCCAAAAACTAGCCGAGATGTCTGCGGGGCCACCGATGGCTACCAACGCCACTGTGAGGAGTATCAACTTCAGCTGCATCGTGTTTCCTTTATGTTTGGCTGCTGCCTCTAACCTGGAACAAACAAAATGTTTCAATTGCTGTACATTGCAGTTAAAACAATTATTAGCTCGTGTGCATAAGGAGGCTTGAATAAACTAAACATACTTAAAAAAACTAAGAGGAACTAAATGTTCCTGCCCCCCCCCCCTAAAGCCAAAGACTTGCATTTTTTTACATTCAAAATACTTCGGGTGCGCTCAGAATTGTTTGTGATTAGAATTTTTACCAGAAACCACGCCAAAAATTACTGAAAATTTTGGTACAGGTCGAATGTTTTATGTTCAAAATATCTGCAAAGTTAGGAAATTTTTAAATCTAAGAAATCTTTTCACTCCAGAAATAGCAATGATCACAATAGGTTGCACGTGTTTTCGCCGCTAACAGTCCTTCAAATTGCACTATTTGGCACCGCTGCCAGATACGGAGGATAATAAATAATTAATGGGATACGATTTTTACGAATGTCGGAGTAAATTAAATGAAGAGATTCAGAAGAAGAGAAAGTTAAAGAAAGTCGGGCGAGTAATTGACTTTTGAGAAATCTCCATTTTATTTAAATGTTTTTTTATAATTTAATTATTTATTCTTTTAATTTGAATATAAATAGTCAAACCGTACTATATTAATGCAGTGACGACATATGAATGCAATGAGTGACACTTTGCACCGCACAAGCGGAAAAAATTGAAGGCGATCCGGTTTTTTTCAACGGCTAAGTGTGGAGCTTTGGTTTTTTGAAGCACAACGAATAGCTGCGGTTGTTAACTCTCGGGGGTTTTCAACGTTGAATTTACAATCAGGTTTTCCATCCTCGGAATTCAGACGAGTCGTGTTAGCACCATGGAACCTTAGCACCTTTGCAAAATGATGCAAACTGCGAAAATGTTATCGGTAGTAATTTGCGGCATTGACAACGGCGATTTCTTAGTGGGGCGATGTTGTGGTGGAAAATTTGCACTATTTGGCAACGCTACCGTGATTCAACACGGTTCACTTGAACTCCGAGGATTTCATGGTAAATACAATTCAGGGCTGGATTTACCTACTTGCCGTCCATGGGCCGCCAGTATTTTACCACCCCCTTCTCATTCGTTTTGAAGCATCAATAAAAATCATCAAGTGAACGTGCCAGAGAGGGTGGGGTGCATAAGACGCGTTTACTCGTGTTGGAAACATTTTTTGGGAAAGCCCTGTCAACACTACTAGCAAAAATTCACCGAACTTTGCGCGAACGTTAAGTTTCGTAAACCTATCTCTGCGTGGACAAGGCCTTCCATTCATAAGAAATGAACGAAAAAATTATGAAAGAACAAACATAAATGTGGTTTAGTTTAATGACTTTAACTTCCGCCGCCGCGCCGCGCAGACCGCACCGCGTTTGGAGCAATGCGTGAAGTATTCCGACAGTTTTGTAGGCGCTGTTAGTTTCACGCCGACGACCGTTGCTGAACGCACTGTGTTTGATGCAAAGCGTGAAGTATTCATGCATTCTTGTAGGCGCTATTAGTTTCACGCCGACGACCGTTGCTGAACGCAATGTGTTTGATGCAATGCGTGAAGTATTCGTGCAGTCTTGTAGGAATGTAGGCGCTAATATGTGTTACATGCCGACCGCCGCGCCGAGGGCTTCTCCTTTTCATCTCAAGTCCTCGTCATCATTTCTCTCTCAATCGCGCCATTCCTGGCCAAATTGCGTGTTTGGTCCCTCAGATCTTAACTCGATTAATGAAAGGTGCTGTCTCTTATGTCACCGAAAGAAAACAAAATTAGAAATTACTATACTCTCAGGAAATGAGAGATTTTGTTTGTAATTTTTTTCTAAATCCGATTTTTTTTATACCTACATTTAAAAACATTCCAAAATTTGCCGCCTCCTAGATTTGCCGCCATGGGCCGCGGCCCATGTGGCCACTCCCTTGATCTGGCCCTGATGCGGTTGTAAATTCAACGTAGAAAACCCTGAGAACTAACAACCGCAGCTATTCGTTGTGCATCAGAGAGCCGAAGCCCCTCAATTTTTCGGTATTCAAATTAATAAAAAAAATATTTAAATAAAATAGAGACTATTCAAATACATGTAAAAATCGTATCCTATTAGTTATTAACTATTTACCGTGTGTGGCAGCATAGCCAAATAGTGCAGTTTGTAGGACTTTTAGCGGCAAAAACGCGGGCGAAACCACGACCTTCAGTGCGCTGTTTTCAGGGTGACAATTATTCTTGGATTCAAAAATTTCCTGACTTCTTAAATATTTTAACCCTTGATTTTGAGCAGTCCCAATTTTATTGCACTCATTTTTCCTTTACGAATGATTTTAACATTTGAATGATGAGGTGAGGAGAAATAGAGGGCTAACAGCCCGCGACCTAATTATCGTGGACCACATCCATAAAAGTTCGTTTTATCCTACCCCCTCCCCCTCCCCCCGTAACTATTTCAAACCCTCAGAGATAAAATTTCGTACATTTAACGAACTGAAGGAACTTTGAGAGGATCCGGTGCTCCGTAGCAGTTTAAAAGTGCAGCCTAGCACTTTAACCGAGAGCGTAGTTGCCAGAAGATTGATTCGCTGTATCCTTAGAGCAACTATTTTAAGCCGAATAAATGAGGAAACTTCGCGTGAATCGAGTGATTCATGGCCTAGCAGTCACGCTGAAAGCACCGTGTAGTGCGCCGTTGCCGGCAGTTTGCTTTGAACCCAGTAACTGTTTTAATTCTACGGAGATCAAATTGCATATCCAACCAAGTGAAGGAAATTTATGAAATCCCATTGATTTGGACAGAGTTAAACAGAAAGGAACCAAGCCACATCAGGATCGAACCGAGATAAAGAGGTTTACAGTTTGGCTCCTGCATGAGACTCAATGTAAAAGATAAACTTCAAGTTCAAAATACTGCAAAATTTGCTCCAACAAAAACTTTGAATTTTTGGTGAGAGATAGTAGAGCAGTGGTTGAGTTCAAAACCGCTCATGGCTCAATTTTTTCCAAAATGTGGGTTGGCTCCTTTCCGCTTAACTCAGTGCATTTGTGACATTGCAGCAAAAGTGGAAGCGCCACACAGTGAATCTATTCAATGGGAGAGGTCGGACATGAAATATTTTGCCTAAAACTGCAAATTTAAATGTTAATTCCGTGAGATTTTAAAGTTTGAGGGATGCTTCCTCACGTGAATTACACAAGAAAACCAATGGTGCCGCTTTTGGAAAGTTCCCGCGGATGGAAGTGGTGTACTACAGCAGTCGATTCGCTATCCCCTCTTATTATCCACTAATGTTTTTTTTTTTTTTTTTTTTTTTTTTTTTTTTTTTTTTTTTTTNTTTTTTTTTTTTTTTTTTAAATTATGCGTACTTCAATGCAAAATTGTTGCTAGTTAACTACAGATATCATGAATGATATTCGATTTTTTGATTCTGAAAATGTAGTTTCGGCTTCCCTATTTTTTTCATGCACGCGGATTAGAAAGCCGCATCTGACCGAAGTCGTAGAAACCCGGCACGGTGCCCCTGAACTCACTTTAAATGCGACTTTCTTGTACATCAAAAATTCAAGTTGGAGGTTGTAGTGGGGTACTCCCTGATGGTTTTTTGGGCAATTTCGAAATAGGTTGTCGGAGCTCCTCGAAAAATAATCGCATTTTTGTGGTTTTTTAGGGGTAAAATAGGAAAATTGGCCTCCGGGCGACAAATTAAACCCCCTCTCCCTCATCCTTGCCTTGACCGATCTGAATTTNGGGCTTTACATTTTATCGCCTGGCTGTTGCTTTTTCGCCATCGGCTATAAAAGTTTATAAGAAAGTGTGTAGAAATTCGTGTGCTTTAAATCCGCAAGTTTGTACGGAATCACCATAATAAACGTAAACAAACATAAACGCACATTATATTTTCCTTTACTACATATTTTTTTTCATCAATTAAAATGAGAATAATCCATACAGAGTGCGCAAACATTTCAAAGTCATGAGTTGAACAACGCTGACTCCACGAGATTAAATATTAGAGCCTAACACAAAGCAGAGCGGCGGCGCACTGGCGCCTACAAACCTAACAGGGATACTTCACGCACTGTGCAATGCATGAAGTATCCATGTTAGGTTTGTAGGCGCCAATGCGCGTTTTGTGCTGGCTGCCCGCCCGCCGTGCTGCGCCGCAGCAAACCACGGCGCTTGAAGCAACTATTTCACACCAGAGGTATTGCACAGTATCGTACGAAATGGAAGGCGCTCCAACATATTAGGAATGGCAGGCATCCTTCAAAAGTACGGAGCTTCCCCCGCAAAATAAATCAAGATACTACGGCCCAAAAAGAGAGCGGTAGTCCAAAAACTCACTGAGTCCTAGCATCCGTAATTAGTAACGGATAGCATACAGTTTATCGTCAGGCTGTTGCTTAATCGCCATCGGCTATAAAAGGCTATAAGAAATTGTTTTGCCGGCTATAGAAGCTATTGGAAATCTTACAGTCGGCTGTATGTCTATGGTATTTTGGAACACAGATTCTACTGCCAATTTTTACCAGGGGTTTCGGCTTCCCTATTATTTTCATGTACGCGGATTAGAAAGCCGCATTTGACCGAAGTCGTAGAAACCCGTGCTCGCTTCTGATTGGTGCCGGATGACATCATTTGGTTCGGAGCGAAACAGGGGCGTTTTAAATTCGCGGAAAAGTTGCGTTTATCGAATTGCGTATTTATCGTTTATTCCCTAAAATCCTTAAAACCAGCATTTCAAGTTTTGCTCTGTCAAGAGATAGGAGAATCAAGCCTTGGTAGAAACAGGACAGCGAACTAGGTAAACCAGTTGAAGAATCAGCCCTCTGATTGTTTTACGTGCATATCAACGGTAAAACTGCAAAAATGCTTGCCTCGGTTGCAGTTATTTTCAAAATCTTCGCTCATATTTTATTTTTTAAAATGAGGTCTTTTCAGAATCATGGCTTGAAATTTTCCCAAATCATTAATCGCACAGAGGACAATGTTCATAGGACAATTTTCAAGAAATGACTTTCGGTCGTTTTCCACGTAGAAAATAAAGTATGATCGGAAGTCTGCGACGCTGCAAAACGTGATATACATTTTTGCGGTTTGACCATAGGTATCTAGTGAAACCAAGGTATAGGGCATTGTGGAAGAAACCACAGTATGCGTCATACTGCCGTGCTTAGGAAGAACGCCGTATGAACATTCGAGGGTTGCCAAATTTTCTTCGATAAAATGCTTATTCTTTAGGAAAGTTATGAATATTTTTCCTTCATATTTCCAGAATCTCTAGGTAAAGTTGCGAACTGAATTATCTGAAAAATTGGGAGAAAAATATTCATAAATTTACCAGGAAACTCGCGTTTTATCAAAGGAAATTTGGCAACGCCTGAAGGCTCATACGGCGTTTTTCCTCAGCACGGCAGTATAGCACTGGAATAATATGTTAACCACTGCGTTTTCCAAAGGGTGATACTCGTATCTACCGTTTACCGTATGGAAACTTGACACCTAGACACATATTATTTTTCAATCAATCTATATAAAATTCAGGCATGAAAATACAATTTTGCAAATGGTGCCATTAAACTATTAATAAAATACATTTGGATATAGAAAATTACCTTCGACTATAGTGGTCACTGGCTTTCCGCAGGTTACTTTTAGACACTTTCCCACAATGAAATAAAAATAAAAAAAAATCGATATTTTATTTATCTGTATCGCAATCTTCCCCGATCATTTTTCAACACGGGAGTGTCTTTATTCGGGATAACCAAATACCTAGATTTATAATTTTCAGAAACTATTGATGGAAGAAGTAAAAGGGTACGAACAAGATTCGCGTTTAACGTGAGAGCGCACTGCTTTATGATAGAGCCATGATGAGGAAGACGAGGTGTCTTCGACTGATCGTAAGTCTAGCTAAACATGTGGTTGCCGCCGGCTGCTGGACGAACCGGCTTATGTTGTCATCATGTCGGGGGATTCCCTTCTTCTCCAGCGCTGCCACAAGAAATCAGCTAAATTCTTCAAACCAGATTTGGCATCACTTGAATGAAGGCCGGTAAAAGCCAGCCCGGTCACTGCGCTCCTCCTATGCTAATTGGACGTATTTATCCTAAAAGGAACTATGTGCATAGGGCATGCGTGTGATATAGTTTCTTTCAGCATAAATGCGTCCAATTTTACATAATACAAAGTACGACAACTTTATAGGAAAAAGGGCGGGTAAAACCAGCCGATGGTGTCAGGCTGTGTTTTGCCACCTGCAGAAGATGCGGAAAAGTCACTGCTGATTTATGAACTGATTTTCAAACCGCTTTAGTAACTGCATACATAAGGGAATAATTTATTGCAAAATCGCTTGTTCAGTGTTGTAAATAGCGCTTATAAAAAGTCTTTTTCCATGTCAGTGGCGATCGAAATGCGGTACATTTGAATTGGTATAGTCCGTCGTTTCCCTACGAAAGAACATAACTACAATTCAATGTCGCCAGATTTTTCGGCGCAAATTGCATTTTTACCAGGAGACTTTTGAAAATATCTAATTGAGATTTTCACTAAGTTTGCTTCTGACCACATGCAAAAAGCAGACAAATTTTTGACAAAAATAATGCAGGTATTTTCTCGTAAACAATTGAATTGTTTGAGTCAATTTTGCAACCTTGGAATAGAGTTGCGTCCTTTCGTGTGGAAACGACGAGTTGCTCTGGGGTCAAAGAATCATGTTCTGACGTCGCACAGTAGATAAAGTCAATAGGAGAGGTCGGACAAAATGTGGAAACTTTAAACGCTTACTCCGTTTATACAAAACTTTGAGGTTCTAAAATTGGTTTCATTGGTTTCCTCGTAAAATTTTCTTAAAATTTAAAATGTGGCAAAATAAACATCAAAATTTGCAATTTCAGTCAAAAATTTCATGTCTGACCTCTCTAATTGACTCGATCCACTGCACGACGGTCGAAACTGTTGACTAATTGACCGGCCAAAAAACTATATCCACTCAAACGATGCGTTTCTACCGCTATATTTAGTTATAACGGAAAGATAGGACGAGTTAAACGGGAATGAATGCTCTCAGTCGCATTCAAGTTTGAACCAAGAAAAGGGGCTTTGAAGTTTTGTGCCACCGTGAGAATGAATATTAATGACCAAGTTAAATGACTATACTCAAGTTCAAAATAGTTTTTCTCGGCTCTATTTTTTTATCTTGAGAAAACGAACGACTAGTTGAATTNCGTATACAGAGAAAAAATTCACGGACATTTTCAAGAAATGACGTTCGGTCGTTTTCCACGTAGAAAATAAAGTATGATTGGAAGTCTGCAACGACGCAAAACGTGATATACATTTTTGCGGTTTCACCATAGGTATCTAGTGCGAAACCAAGGTATAGGACATAGTGCAAGAAACTACAGTACGCGCTATAGCACTTGAATAATATGTTAACCACTGTGTTTTCCAAAGGGCGATGTTCGTACCTACCGTTTACCGTATGGAAACTTGACGCCTAGACAGAGACACGTGTTATTATTTTTCAATCAATCTATATAAAATTCAGGCATGACAATACATCATGCAAATGGTGCCATTGAAATATTATTAAAATACATTTGAATATAAAAAATTACCTTCGGTTATTGTGGCCACTGGCTTTCCGTAGGTTGCTTGTAGACACTTTCCCACAATTAAAAAAAAATCGATATTTTATTTATCTGTATCACAATTATCCCCGCTCATTTTTTTAACACGGGACTGTCTTTATTCTATGATAGGAATAACCAAATACCTAGATTTATAATTTTCAAAAACTATTGATGGAAGAAGTAAAAGGGTATGAACAAGATTTGAGTTCAACGTGAGAGCGCACTGCTTTATGATAGAGCCATGTATGATGAGGAAGACGAGGTGTCTTCGACTGATCGTAAGTCTAGCTAAACATGTGGTTGCCGCCGGCTGCTGGACGAACCGGCTTATGTTGTCATCATGTCGGGGGATTCCCTTCTTCTCCAACGCTGCCACAAAGAATCAGCTAAGTTCTTAAAACCAGATTTGGCATCACTTGAATGAAGGCCGGTAAAAGCCAGCAGCCAGCCCGGTCACTGAGCTCCTCCTATGCTAATTGGACGTATTTATTCTAAATAGAACTATGTGCATAGGGCATGCGTGTGATATAGTTTCTTTCAGCATAAATGCGTCCAATTTTACATAATACAAAGTACGACAACGTTATATAAAAAAAGAGCGGGTAAAGCCAGCCGATGGTGTCATGCTGTGTTTTGCCACCTGCAGAAGATGCGGAAAAGTCACTGCTGATTTATACACTGATTTTCAAACCGTTTTACTGACTGCATACATAAGGAAATAATTTATTGCAAAATCGCTCGTTCAGTGTTGTGAATAGTGCTTAAAAAAAGTCTTTTTCCATGTCAGTGGCGATCGTAATGCGGTTCGTTTGAATTGGACTGCATTTTACAATTTGGAAGTATAAATTAGGCTCTTCTGGAAAAACACTTATGTGCATAGGAAAACTAATGGCACATACGTTATTTTTAGACCGGGCTAGAATTTATAGTTCCAAATTGCAAAATGTAGTCCAATTGGTATAGTTCGTCGTTTCTCTACGAAAGAACATACCTATATTTCAATGTTGCCAGATTTTTCGGCGCAAACTACATTTTTACCGGGAGAATTTTGAAAATATCCAAGTGAAATTTGCACTCATTTTGCTTCTGACCACATGCAAAATGCGGACAAATTCTTGACAAAAATTATGCAGGTATTTTCTCGTAAACAATTGAATTGTTTGAGTCAATTTTGCAACCTTGGAATAGAGTTGCGTCCTTTCGTGTGGAAACGACGAGTTGCTCTGGGGTCGAAGAATCATGTTCTGACGTCGCACAGTGGATGAAGTCAATAGGAGAGGTCGGACAGAATGTGGAAACTTTAAATGCTTGCTCCGTATATACAAAACTTTGAGGTTCTAAAATTGGTTTCATTGGTTTCCTGGTAAAATTTTATTTCAGCAGCACCCCTTAAAATTAAAAATATGGCGAAATAAACATCAAAATTTGCAATTTCAGTCAAAAATTTCATGTCTGACCTCTCTAATCGACTCGATCCACTGTACGACGGTCGAAACTGTTGACTAATTGGCCGGCCAAAAAACTATATCCACTCAAACGATGCGTTTCTACTGCTATATTTAGTTATAACGGAAAGATAGGACGAGTCAAACGGGAATGAATGCTCTCAGTCGCATTCAAGTTTGAACCAAGAAGAGGAGCTTTGAAGTTTTGTGCCACCGTGAGACTGAATATTAATGACCAAGTTAAATGACTATATTCAAGTTAAAAATATTTTTTCTCGGCTCTATATTTTTATCTTGAGAAAACGAACGACCAGTTGAATTTAAAACTATCTCCTGCTGCGGGCCGATTATTGAAATTTATGGACAAAGCTATAGACAAAGAGGATTTGGAGGGATCCTATTGGCTTGAAGCGGGTAGTTGCAATGGTCAAAGGAGGTAAGTAATAGACGAACTAACGACAATCGACAAGAGACTCTATATTAGTCCATCATTTTCTCCCGTGGTCTGTAAGAACAACCAGTTTTAACCAATGGGATTGCTCCGTACTTCCTATGTCTTCTTTGTCTATAGGTTGGTCTATCAATTTCAATAAAAAGTCCGCTCAGCTCATTTTATCTCATAATCGACCATGGCGCGTCTTAGTTTACTCGGTCCATTTCACCCTCCTTAAAACATACCCTTCGATGTCGTACATCGTGATAGAGTAAACCGTGATTCTTACTAGCTTGGATCATCAAGTCGTCGCTCCTCTGGCGTAAACGCGTATCTCGATTTCCGCATGAGCCCCAGAAAGTATGGTTTCATATGTAAGACGAGGCTCACATGGAAATGGAGATGTTGCATGTGCGAGGGATTTGCGATTTGACCATTGATTCTTACATAAAAGTTCGCGAGAAACACGATGGTGCCACTGGTGTTCTCTGAAATCATCTCCCAAGCTCAAAAAAAGCTCTCAAAGTGATGCCAAAACGGAGGGGATATCCCACCCTACCCTGAGAGTCCACCTCTACATCAAGACAAACTCTCATTGCAAAGATAGGGAGCAAATACATTGACAGGGCTGCCACTTTATTTGGAGACTCTAAAACTGAAAACACGGCATCACTGCTAATGTATTTGCTCCCTATCTTTGCATGGAGAGTTTGTTTTGACGTAGAGGTGGACTCTCAGGGTAGGGCGGGATATCCCCTCCATTTTGGCCTCAACGTGAGAGCTTTTTTTGCGCTTGGGAGATGATTTCAGAGAAAACCAGTGGCACAATCGTGTTTCTCGCGAACTTTTACATCAGAATCAATGGTCAAATCGCAAATCCCTCACACATGCAACATCTCCATTGATGTACGCCCTTACGTCAGAGGGACGACAAAGTGAGATTCCTCTTTGAATTTTGCTCTGATTGCTTTGCTCTAACTGCGAGGTATCCAAGACCGCCCGTACTGGCTTTTCTCTCGGTTGTTTCAAGTCGGACGAAGTTAGGGACGGCAGAGTTGGATAGGGAATCGACCCCCAAGGAATCCAAATATCATCGCCCCGAAGCCCTCTCAGTTGGTAAAAGGGGATTCACACTTTAAAAATTCTCACGTCAAAATTTTGACATTGTTCCTTCGAATTCGGAGAGCAGTGCAGACAACTTTAAGGTACTTTGACACTCAAAGAAATACAAAATTGGCGGAAAAGGATGAAAAATAGAGTCTCCTTCTAAAAACTGCTTTAGCTCCCATAGCAAAGTGTTTCGAAAATAAGACATTTTTATAGGTAATCAACCCAAGGAGTTCTTTGGCAATCCCGCAGCTCACCCGAGGCTTCGCT